TCTTTTTTTTTTTTTTTTTTGGCACCAGGGATTGAACTCAGGACCTTCTGTTTGCAAGGTAGGCGGCGGAACTACTGAGTTAAATCCCTAGCCTCAACATTACTGTTTTTAAGGCATTATTGAAGTTCACAATCATCAAAAAACGTAGCTTAAGTAAAACTGAATAGATTTTGTTAGAGCAAAGGATCAGTGACAGGATGTGAGCTTAATGTAGTACTTCATACAGCCTTATATAAACTCCACATACCATGTTAGCTGCTTTTTTGGGTTACTGCTACTACCGCTAAATCATATTTTAAAATTACTTTAAAAGTAGGAAATTAAGTGTTTTAATTTCATATGTACCCAGAAGTATAAAACATTTTCAGCTGTCAGAGTCATTCTTAAAATAACATTGTTTTCCAAGATATTTCTGATTTGCCTTAAAATTTTTTATTACTATAGGTTTGTGATATGTAGTGATTACAGTCAGCTTGGAGGATTAATGTGTATATACGTGGCACATCTTGATTATTTTTACTTATCCTGTCACCATTCTTCAGATCCCCTTCCTATCTCTACAGAGCCTACCTCCTTGTTTCTTGATATGGCTGTTTTGTTTTGCTCTTTAAATTATTTATATTTTGGGTCTTTCATATTAGAGAAACCATGTGACATTTAATCTATGGCTTTTTCATTTACGATTATGGTCTGAAAATTCATTAGTTTTCCTACACATGCTTCAAATTTATCCTTCCTTATGACTGAGTCCACTGTGTATATGAATCACATTTAAAAAAATTTATTCATCTGTTACTGAGCAGGCCACTTCCATGATTTAGCTGTTGTGAGTATGTATCACTTTGGGGAAGATACTCGGTATAGATATAGCTGGGTCAAGTGGAATTTCTATTTTTAGTTTTTTTGAGGAATCTTCAGACTGATTTCCATAGTGGTTTTACTAGTTTACTTTCTGACCAACAATGTAGAAGTATTGTTTTTTTTTTTTGTCACTAGATAATAGCCTTTCTTATTGGAATAAGGTGGAATTTGTATTGTTTTGATTTACATTTCTTTAATGGTCAAAGATGCTGAACATATTTTCATATATTTATTGGACATTTGTACTTCTGCACAGTTGCTGTTCATTTCAGTTACTGAGTTTGTGATTGAGTCTTTTATTTTTTGGGATCTAACTTTTTTTTAAATTCTTTATAAATTCCAAATATTATTCCATTGTTTGAGGAGTAGCTGGCAAAAACCTTTCCCATTCTGTAGGTTGTCTCTTCACTCTGATGGTTATTTTCATTGCTGACTCCTGCATTGCATTATATGTCTGTTGCCAGTTACTTTTCCGCTGTTCACTACTCCCCTTAGTAGATGTATTCTTCCCTTTGGGCTCTTTATTGGTGGTTATCCTTATTGTCATTGTCAAAGATTTCTTTTTGTACTTTGTGCAGTGCTGGTTTTGTGGTCATGAATTTTTTAAGATGCTCTTTGTCATGAAAAGTCTATTTCTCCATCAATTTTGAAAGATAATTTTGCATAATATATTAATCTGACTCAAAGTTGTTCTTTTTAAGGGATTGAAAAACTTTTATTCTCTCCTATGTTGAGAAATATGCTCTTGTTATGATAAGTTTGCCTTTGTGGGTGTTTTGATGCTTTTCTCTTAACAGCTTTTAGTATTGTGTCCTTGAGCTGAACTTCTGTGATTTTAACAGTGGTATTTTGTGGAGAAGTTCTTTTCTGGTCATGGGTACTTCTTGGTGTTCTTTATGTCTTGTTTACCTAGAAGTTTTTTTACCTAGTTGTGGAAAATATTCTGCTCTGATTTCAGTAGTTGATTTTTTTTGTATCTCTTATGTTATTTTCAAATCTTAGCTCCATTAATACTTAAGTTGGGTGGGGTATTTTTTGTTTGTTTGTTTGGATCATTGAGCATTGGATTCCATTTCCATAGTCTAAGTATCTTTGAGTATATGATCTGCTGCATCAACTTTATTTTCTAGTTTTCACACTCTTCACAGTGGTCATTTCTTCTGTCCATACTTTTAGTAATTTTTTATTTCCTGAATTTGTTTTGTATCTTTTCTCTTTGATATCTTGACTAATATGGTCATTCATATCTTGTGTGTCTTTGTTAGTTCACCCAAGTTTTTGTCTTTAAGCTTGCTAATCATTTTATCAGTTAAGTGTTATTACATGTTTAGTTACATTAGATCTGTTTCTTTTGCCCCTTCAAACATTTCTACCTTTTAAAAGCTATTTTCCTCTACATCAGTGCACATGGATTAGCTTTTGGGCAGTTAAGTTTTGGAGGCATTTTGTTGCTTTGTTTTCTCATGTTTCTTTTTGTGTGTGTATATGTGCAGGCATGTGTGCTGAGGGTTGAGGATCAACTAGAGTAGAAAACCTTTTTCACTAGTATGGGGATCTCTTCAGGTAGTGCATGTTACCTGTGTTGCGATCATTGCTTTGGTTATGTACCTCATCAGATTACTTAGCATAATAGGATTAGACCCAGTCACTGTGTTGGAAGAAGAGAACCACTAGGAGTTATATCAGCATCTACACAGCCAGCTATATATTAGTCATGTAAATTAAGCCTTGTTTTTAACAATGTCACCTTTTTTTCTGTGACCCATAAATACTGGGAAACAGTACGTGAGCTGGAAAACAATTTTTGAGCAAAAAAAGTTTTTCCTGTGGCTAGTTGACCTAACTTAAGAGCCACCCCCTGCTCATACCTGCTCCTACACCTAACACATGTCCTCCTTCATTGCCCTTTGTTCTCAGAAATTGTCTGTATCCAGTGTAGTTTTCTATCAAATCATGTAAACTAAGTGTAACTTCTTCAACGAATGCCTTGCTTCTGTATCCCCCCCGTATAAACCCTGTTCGCTGCCAGCTCCGGGCTGATTGCTTTGTGGAGAAATCCCCAGTTAGTCTGCCAGCTTAATAAACTTGCCTCCAACCTCTGGGTGTGTTCTTTGTTCTTCTTGGCCTGATCTCACTATACCACTAAGACCTGTGGACTGTAAGTCTGCCAGTACACTCCTGATAAATAGGTTGGGATATAGAGGATAAATGAGGAAGAAAAGAAATAAAAAGCAAAGAGATTTGATTTTTTTAAATAACTGAGGCAGAAGGATGGTGGAGAGGAGGTTTGAGAGAAGGATGGCAAAGAGAGGGAAGTAAAACTGGAGAGTAAGGGAAGCTGTGAGAATATCAGAACCTGTTAATATGTTCATAGTGCACTTGTGTTTGAATCCTCTGTACACAAATTTTGGGGAGAGTTATCCTAACTTGGCCAAAAAAGATACTATTTAGGTTAAAGCAGTGGTTCTTATTCTCCTCTTCACATATACAGACCATATATATATATAGATATGCATATATGTATATGCATGAGATATATATATATATGTATATAAGTATGTATGTGTATATATGTGAATGTATATGTATATTTATTACATGAAACAAAAGGAGAGAAAGAAAAAAAATACGCAATAACAAGACACAAAATTAAATTGTCCTGTCAGCCCTATTTATACTTCAGTCTGCATTCAACCGGTGTGCTCTTCCACTAGCTTCACAAATAGAGCTTTACCATGGAGAGGGTCTAGAGAGAATGCTGGGTCTGGTTCCTTTCACCTCCACACTACACACAGCATCCCTGTCCACAGTTTGTCTTTTCTTCTGTCCTTAACAGACCATTGCCCACCCCTGTACCTCACTGAACCAGCTCTCTTAGGATTTGTTCTGCCTGCCTGTGAGAGGCTTGGGGCTCTGCACAGACCTCTGCACACCCACCCTTCCTCTGCAGGCAGTGTTCTGCTTGGCTTCAATTTCTTTCTTGTGGGCATGGCACCTGGAGGTTGTGGCCTTTGTTTTAGGGTGGGACACTTTCATTTGAGTCAAAGTGAGGTGAAGGAATAGTGCACCCAGTCTTACACTGGTTTCCTAAGAGGTTTTCTCTGTCGGCTCCTTTCCTTTTGCAAATAATCTCTGCCTCTTTGGTCACTTTTTATAAGACATCATGTAAATGCCATGCATTTTGCCCTTTGGCTAAGCCACTCTTCACCAGCTCTTCGCCCACATCTCTCCACATTCCACAAAGCATCACTTTCTAGCCTGTGACCTCTGGTGCCCTGGGGCTTGCAGTACTTAGCAGCTTTTGGCTGGGGGTAGGAGGTTCCCATATGGGTGCCAAGCAATGTGTAGTGGGCAGCATATCTAGCACGCACAGAACTTGCAGTTGTTTGGGGGAACAGTGGGAGAGTGCCTGCTTTGGCACTGCTTGAACAACTTTTCTTAGGGAGGTTTTGCCTGTTGCCGCTGCTGCCCACACTTTCACCACCTTGAAGCATGTCTTTCCTAGCATCTATCTCTGTGTCACTAAATCAGGACTATGCCCGCATTCCCTACTTTCCTAAGGTCCTGCCACTCCGGCTCAGTCTCTGTCCTTTGTATGATTCCCTGGCTTTCAATTTCTCTGGTGCCCGCTTCTGTGAATATCTCTCTTTCTGGGCTCCTCCCAGAGGGAAGGGTGATTAGGCTAGGAGCCTGCCTCGGGTCTAAGCCAAACCTGCTCCCCACTTCAGGGTATTAGAGCCTCTCCCAGATGGCATGTTTAATGGACCTGGGGTGAAGAGGTGCTTTGATCCAGAGTCAGCTCATTTTCCTTTTCTGACCTCCCAAAATACTAAACTTGCTCAGGTGGTCTTCTCCCTCAGGTCACCTTTTTCTCTCTGGCTTTGCCTTCCCTGTTTCTGAATACTCACACTCCCCAGTGCGTGTCCTCCAAGCTTTGTACACCTCCTCTCTAGTCAGCCATGATGGACCATTTTGTCTGTTTAAATGATTAAATTCTGTAGAAAACGGCTATCCATTGCATTGTGATTCAATTTTTGATTTTTATCTCTTCTCAGTTGGGAGCTGAAAGTGCTGACAGCATCGGAGCTGTATTAAATAGCAAAGAGGAACAGAGAGAAATTGCCGAAACAAGAGAAACTTGTAGGTCAGTTGAATAATTTTTTAAATATATAATATTGTGAAAGGATCATTATTTTAGTAACAACACTACATATGCATATGTTGTTATACAAAGCATCAAAGATTTAAAAAACACTGGTTGGTTTTTGTTTTGTTTTGTTTTGTTTTGTTTCTGAGCTGTGGATCAGTCCCTGGACCTCATGCAGAATTTACTTAAGTAAATTCTGTACCACTGGACTACATTCCCATCCCAGAAACATTCATTTTTAGTGTCAGTTCATGAATGATGAAATACATATTTTAATGAATATTTTAATTTCCCCTTTATAAATAATTAGAAATGGAATGTTAGACTAAGAAATAACTTATGTACAAGAAATACATTTTTTAATTATAAATTTTAATTTTATGAATTTACCCTAAATGTGGTATTTAGTTAATAGTTCAGAAACCATTTCAGAAATTTTCTGGTATTTTAGTGTATCGACATGGACATCAATTTTGCTTAAGAAATATTAAAATAATACATAATGTAAAAGTTTCTTTTTATAATATGTCACGTATAGCATTTCTTATAAAGTACAGGATTGTCAATAAGGTTTTGTAAATGTTTGGGTAATTTATAAACTGGGTAATCAAATACTGTTTAATCAGGAAAAATTTACCTTGTCCTATGTTTATATTACTTAGTATTACCAGTAGATGCATATACACATATTGTATATGATTCTTATATACACATATTGTATGTGATTCTTCTGTTTTACTTCTCAGGGCTTCCTATGATACTGCTGCTCCGAATGCAAAACGTAAGTACTTGGATGAAGGAGAGGCAGATGAAGACAAAGTGGAAGAATACAAGGTAAGTAAAAAGTGAGATAGTTTTATGGTGAAGAAAAAAATAAATCCTTCCAATAAATTCATATCCAAGAAGACAAGTTTGATGGAAAGCTGAATATGAAATATGCTAAGATAATCATCAGTACTATATGCTATCAGTTAAGCCCTTTATCAGTTTCCTCATATTATGTGTTATATGGTTAAAATTAAGCACGTGCGTGCACTCTCTGTATTTGTATGTGTGTGTGTGTGTGTGTGTGTGTGTGTGTTTATAAATAGCATAATGCCTGGTAAACACTGGCAATAATACATATTTTTTTTAATGAATGAAGAGATAAGTATATCAAAGACTTTGGATAGTTAGATCAGATTTTGAGAGGCTGCCGTAGTCTTTTGGGCTGTATTATTCCATGATAACAATGTAGGGTGGAACATCTAAAACATTTTAAAAACTCATGAACACTGTTTCTGAAAGAGGCCCAAGGAGAACCCAACTGTAAGCTTGTAGTTGCAAAGATAGTTAGTTTGTTTTTTATTTATTGGTACCAGGGATTGAACTTAGGATGTGCCACTGAATTGCAATATTTTTTTAGAAGGAAGTTATGGAGAAAAATCTACTTCAGTTTTTTTCAAGTTAATTGTATGTATTTATTAGAAAAAGAAATGTAATAGGAAGAAAATGGCTAAAGGTGTAAGGAAAGTGGGAAGGGTAGGGGAAAGGTAATAAGGGAAAAGAAAAAAATATGAAAAAAATGGAGAAAAGTGTTTGTAAATGGTAGGAGGGGATAAAGGGAGAGCAGGGACAAGGGGAAAAAATGAGAACCAAGACCTGTCGTGTAAAAGTGCAAGATCCCAATAATGAATGTAACTGTACTGTATACCTAAAATGTACCGATAAACTCAGTGAGAAAAAAAAAAGAAAAAAACGTATAGTTTCAGTAAATCTCTAGCAAGTTTTGTGATACATAACCTAATCTCATATACTAAAATACCTTCTGAGGTGTTAACATTTTGATAACATGGAACTTATATGTAATTTAAATGTTTGTGGTTATGTTAGATTGAACCATATATAGTTGTATTTTTGACCTATAAAACAGCAGTTTTCTAATAGAAATAAAATATCCCTATTACTCGTCATACACTCGTGATGAAAGCTACATTTTAACATTTACAATATAATATGTGAAATACATAATTCTAGACAATTCAGTTAACAAAACAAGATTAGTTATAGGTCATTTTTATTCATGATAGTGATGACAACATTTTTTAATATCAAGTTAGATCTAATGATGAAAAAGCAAAAATTTTAACTTGAAACATTTTATTCTTTTTAACGAAATAAAATATGTCTTAACATAATTAAATAACCTATATACAATAAATGTTTTCTTAATCTTCCTTTTTCAAGGATGAACTAGAAATGCAACAGGAAGAAGAAAATTTGCCATATGAAGAAGAGATTTACAAAGATTCTAGTACTTTTCTTAAGGTAAAATAAATAATTTTCAAGTCTTAACAGCTCTTCACAATTATACTCTGTACCCTATTTGTCTTTAGGATCTTTTCAGTTATTGAGGGGTCACTATTTAAAAAATGAGGATTATTTAAATTATCCATGAAACATTCTTTTGATATTTGACTATTGGATAACGGTGTAATTTTAGTAGCATTTCAAGAGTAATGAGTCATTCTAGTTATGTTTTCAGATTTTACTACTTTTTAAGATCTATCATATGTTCTCATAATAAAAAACAAAGTACAGTATTAATGTATCTGCTTATCAGAGTGCATGTTGTCAATTTAATTTTGATTTTTTTCTTTAGGGAACACAGAGTTTAAATCCTCATAATGATTACTGCCAGCATTTTGTAGACACTGGGCATAGACCTCAGAATTTCATCAGGGATGTAGGTATGTCAGCCTTTTCTGGACTGTGCTGTTGCTACTGATTGATTACATGTATGTGAAACATCCATTTTGCAGATTATTTCTCACAAAACATTTTTTCTAGTTTTCTCTTCTCAATATTTCCAGTACAGTTTCTTTTTCCTTTGAGCAGTGTTACTTTTTTCTTTCCTACTTTTTAAGATAATTTATATACTATACAACTTGCCTGTTTAAAAGGGTATAACTCAAAAAGGGAGGGGTATAATTCAGTGTCTTTTAGTACATCCATAAGGTTGTTTGCAACCATTACTGTAATGCATTATAGAACACTTTCTTCTCCTTTAGGAAAGCCCTGTACCTTTCACTATTTATTTCTGATTCCCTCCCTCTCTTCTGCCCCCCCCCCAGGCTTAATCTTTCTTTATAAATTTGCCTGTTCTGGACTTTTCATATAATTGGCATCGTACAATATGTGGTCTTTTGTGACTGGCTACTTTAGCTCAGCATAATATTTTCAGCAGTCATTAATGTTGTAACATCTGTTGGTCCATCATTTGTTATTGCCAAATATATTCCATTGTATGTGTGGGTGTATATACCCTGTTTTGTCTACTTATTCATTTGTGCTTGCTCTTTTGGTACATTATGAATAATGGTTTTATGGGTTTTTTTGCGGGGGCAGTACTGGGGATTGCACCCAGGGCCTTCTCACTGAGCTGTATGCCAGTAACCCTCCCTATTTCTTTTGAGACAGGATCTCACTAAGTCACCTAGGCTGGGTTTGAAATTGTGATCCTCCTTGCCTCAGCCTTCTTCAGTACTAGGATTATAGGCATGCACCACCATGCCCTGCTCTGTTACGGACATTCATGCACAAGGTTTTCGGTGGAGATAGGTTTTCATATCTCTTTATGCTATATCTAGAAGTACAATTGCTGGATCATGTAGTAATTCTTGTTTTTTCATTTTTCAAATTTTTCTTCAGTTTTTAAAACTTTTTTGTTCTGTTTTCTTTGTTGCTTTTTTAAAGTTGTTTTTTCCATGTGGTAATTTTATGTTTAACATTTTGAAGAACTATCCAAATATTTTTCAAAGTAGCTGTGTCATTTTACATTCCTACCAGCAATATGTAATGATTCCAATTTCTTCATATCCTGATTATTGTTATTGTCTGTTTTTTTAATTATAGCCACAGTAGTGAATGTTAAGTTGTATCCCATCATGGCATTGCTTTGTATTTTCTTACTAATGATATATTTAGCATTTTTTAACGGGCATATTGTCATTTAAATATGCTCTTTGAAGAAATGTCTAAACATTTTGCTTTTTATTATTGAATTAAAAGAGTTCTTTGTATTTTCTGTGTGGGTATATATATTTATATATATTTTTGGTACAAGTCTCTTATCCGATGTATGATTTGCAAATATTTTCTCCCATTCTATTAATTTTTTACTCTCTTCATTGTATCTTTTAAAACCTCAAATTTTAGTTTTTTAATGTCATCCTATTCATTTTTTTCTTTTGTCACTTGTAAACAACATTATTTCTAAAGTAGAAGCTAATTTTTTCTAAGCAAAAATTAGGTGTATCCTAAAAGGTTATGAGAAATTTTACACCATATTTGGATATCAACCTTTCTATTCTCAAAACCCTTACCTAACAAAAAGAAAATGTATATATAAAGGTAATAGTGGTTGAGAAAAAGCTGTTGTATCAATGTTATTTTAGTCACATGGAGGTTTAAATTCAAAATTAAGGAGTAAAACACTTTAGATGGTAGCGAAAAAGAATCATTGAATATTGTTGAAGATAGCATGGTAAGGCAACTTAGGAAAAAGACTCAGAATAACCTGATTTGTCCAAGATCTTAATGTCAAAGGGACAAGGAACAGAGCTGGTTGCAAATTTCTACACTTTAAACAGGGTATTACAATCCTATTCATCTTATGATAAAGGAACGTAGATTTCAAATTTTTTCAGGTTGTACCTTCTGTTTTATAAATGAATGCTGTTAACTCTGTTGTGTTGGAACTTGATGATAGTACAGTTTTCAAACTTTATTAGAAATGTGATCTGTATTACTGATTGAGAAAGACTTACAAAAATGTTCACATTCTTGTTACTAAAAACTTTGAGCCAAGTGTGTAGCACATACCTGTAATCCCAGCACTCTGCAAACAGCTGAAGCAGAAGGATTGCAAGTTCAAGTCCAGCCTGGGTAGCTTAGCAATGTGATGAGATCATCCCTCAAAAATTTTTTAAAAAGTGTGGATGTGATATGAGGGATACACTTGAGTGCAAAGACCTTAGGTTCAATCCCTAGTACTGGAAAGGGAACAGGGAAGAAAAAACTATCCCCCAACCTGACTTTTAGTTTTTAAATTAAGAAATTTAAGTGATTTATATTGCTATGAATATATTTTTGGCAGGGGTGGTGGGATAAAGAAAAAAATATGGTAGAAAGGAAGTAGTCATTTGTTTTTGAAGATGTGAAAGTAAATTATGTGTACTACTTGTTTTCTTGGGAGGAATCATAATTTTTCAATTCACTGCTGTTGTTTAATTGAAATTTAGAAGTTACTGTTTTTTCCCCACAGGTTTAGCTGACAGATTTGAAGAGTACCCAAAACTAAGGGAACTCATTAGGCTAAAGGATGAATTAATAGCTAAATCTAACACTCCTCCTATGTAAGTATTTTTTAAAATTACTTTTTCCCACACTGGGCTTAATACATTAGCCTTTTTTTTCTGTAACTTTTCTTAAAAAAATCAGCACCTATAAGATTAAGCTATTAGTCTATTCCTTCATTTCTTCATTATAGTAAAATATATTAGTTTGAAACTGTGGTACTGAGAAATAAGTAGGTTCTTACTGAATTATTTTTCAATTTTCCAGATAATTTGCTTAAAGTACTTCTAAATATTTTTTTCCTTAGAAAATGACTCATGTTTATTGAATTCTTGATACTATCATTAAATGACTTCTCATAAAGTAATTTGAGGTATTGTTTCATTTTTAACCTTTGCTAAACAGAATATTATTTTTTCTTAGAAATATGAGTTAAATGCCCTTGAAATTGGAGAATGTTTTGTATTTAGCTTACTTTGAATGTTTTGTTCATTTAGTGATTGAATAAAATGTATTAGTTTTTAGAATACCATAAATAAATGTCAATATATGAGGAAGTCTGAATGTACTTGAATATTCATACTACTTTAAAAACATTCTTAGCCAAGTATGATGACACATGTCTATAATGCCATCACTTCAGGGAGCTAGAGTCAGGCAGATCACAAGTTTAAGTCCTGCTGGGACAACTTAGCAAGACTTTGTCCCAAAACAGAATAAAAAAATAGAAGGAGTGGGAGGGGGAGAAGGTAAAATGTTTCCGTTAAAAATATTTTCAGATTATGTGAAAATAACTTCAGTAAACTATATATTAGTATGAAAATACTATTATAAATGTTTTTACTTATTAGTAAACTAATAAAATTATGTGCATATTTGGAAGCTTTTAGAAGGAGGATTTAAAATTTAGAGAAATAGTTTTTTTATCCTAAACATTTGAGGTGAAAAAAATAATGCAATATTGCTTAGAAAATTGAGATGACAGTAGAAAGTGATCAGACATCCTCATCCGAGTATAGATTTTTTTAATGTAAAAAGAATGTATTCTGGATGTTCATGTGGAATAATACAGTTTTCTCTTTGCAGTGCAGTTATGTCCATGTCCTAGGGAATAATACGGGTACATGGTTAAATGTCTGTAGTGAACAAAGATGACCCCTCTACAAACAGACATATCGTAATTAGCTCATTGTTACTTTGTAAATAATGGCTAGTAATATTTGAGAAATTTCTTTCATTACCATCTGCAGATTATTTGAAAAAAAATTTTTTTTTCTTTAATTGAATAGGTACTTACAAGCAGATATAGAAGCTTTTGATATCAGAGAACTAACACCCAAATTTGATGTGATTCTTTTGGAACCTCCTTTAGAAGAATATTACAGAGAGACTGGCATCACTGCTAATGAAAAATGCTGGACTTGGGATGATGTATGATGAAACTTTCTACATTATAATGAACATAAGCCTGGAGTCCTTGGCCATAAGCTAGGAAAATCTAAAAGCAGCAGAATGATAACTTAATTTGCAATTGATCAGTTTTAGTAAACATCAGGAAAGAAGAGAGAAGAGAGAGACAGAATGAGAATGAATATGAATGTGTCACAATTCCTTCTTTTTCAGGAACTTACAATATGATATAGTATGGGTGAAAAAAGCATAAGTATGTAGTTTTAGTATAATTATTGTGATAAAGTTACATTTTCCTAAATAAAACTTAAGTAAGCTAACTTCAGTTGGTTACATAAAGTATTGATAAAGTTACATTTTCCTAAATAAAACTTAAGTAAGCTAACTTCAGTTGGTTACATAAAGTATTGGTTTTTATAACCAGTTGCAAAAATAACACTACTATCGATTAGGCAGTGTATTGGATTCAATAATAAGGGAGTGCAAGGGAATGGGGAAAAAAAAAAAAAGAACCAAGATGGATTATGTAAAGGTACAAATCTCCAATGATGAATGTCAGTACATTGTGTATCTTAATTGTACCAATAAAATTAATTTTGAAAAAATAATGAGGAAGAGATAGTACTAACCCTTAAGGAGCACACAGTTTAATGGAATAAACATTGACCTAACCTAATGACTCAGTAGTGGAGGGCTGCATAACATGATACGAGAGCAGCTGAGCAAACCAAGGAAGATGGCACTTAGGAGCATAGAGATGGTGACACCGGAACAGTGTAAATAGATGAGCTAGAATTGTTCAGGAGAAGAAAGATGTGGAACAGGCAGAAGCAACAGCAGGAACAGAAGGGATGGAGACAAAAGCCACTATCAGGTTTGTGGGTGTAGGAGGTCTTTTTGATGGTTGTTACTGTTCAAATGCAGATTGGAATTGTCTTGAGGTGATGTTTTAAGGAGCTTGATTATTCTGAAAATATTACAAAACCTTTCTAGATTTTAAATAGTTTAGTAAGAACAACAAATCAGTGTGTGGAGACTGGGCTAGAGGGGAAAAAAAGTCTGTGAAAAGGTGACATTTAGAAGACTCTTGCCATCACTTATTTGCAAAAGAAAAGTCATACAGATACCCAGGCTTAAGTGATTCTCCTGGTTCAGCCTGCTAAGTACATAGCTGGGACTATAGGGGTGCACTGCTGTACCTGGCTTATACTATATTTTAATTCTGCCATTAATTTTTGGCTCGTTTAACCTCTTTCTATTTCAGTTACTTTTTATGTAAACAAAAATAAAATATGTTCGCTATAGAATGTCTCTCAAACTCTTATAAACTTCCATTATTCTGTAAATGTAATTCTCTATAAGTTCTTCCCTTATAAACACAAGTGTTTATATGTATCTGTTTGCATATATATAGAGTTTGTATTTAAAAATAAAACAGCAATCTAGCAAGTTATTTTTTAAGGCTAAAAGTTTGTTTTCCATTATAAGTGGATGCAAAGAACAGTTTTACTGATAATTCTGTTACATCTCAATGGCTGTTCTTTTGGATATAGGATGAATGGGAAACAGTTTTATGCAACATTGTTTTGTTTTATTACAGATAATGAAGTTAGAAATTGATGAGATTGCAGCACCCCGGTCATTTATATTTCTGTGGTGCGGTTCTGGAGAGGGATTGGACCTTGGAAGAGTGGTAAGATAACTTTTAAAGTGTATTCTTAAAAATCATAGAATAAAAAAATAGCTATATTACATAAGAAGCTTTAAGATTAATGTTATTTTATACCTTATTCTTGAATAGTTTTAAAATACTCAAAAGTAAAATATGTCCAGGAAAAGAACATAAGGAAGTACGCTTAAGTCAGTTACTAGTTTTAGGGATGAATGTACATCTTTCAAAACATAACTTGTTACAACTGCAAGAAGAGAACAGTTTAAACATTTGAAACTCCAAATTACATTGTAAAAATGAGTTGCTTAGTGTCAGACATGGCTTACTTTTATAAGGTGATAAAAAGTGTTATTCTGAATAGCACTGACTCTTGAGTTTTACATGGAAGCCCAAATCAAATTGGAAAAGGTACAGCATCTGGAACACATAGTTTGAATAGATGAGAATGAAAAAGAAGTTAATAATAGCACAGCTTATTTTTTTAAGTATCTTCAGTTATATTTCAGAGCATTTTTCTTTCTTTCTTTTTTTTTTTTTTTTTTTTTTTTTTTTTTTTTTTTGGTTAGAGTATTTTGCCAAAAAGAAACAAAATAAAGTATTTAAATGAAGAATAATGGGAACATTGTAGCTGGGTATCTAAGTCCCAATTTAGCTATTATCCAACAGTTAGACTTGCGGGGAGAAGGTGTTTACTCTGTGAGTCTCAGTTATGTCACATGCTGAATGAGAATTCCCTTTTTTAGGACATAGTACTTGTTAAATAGCAGATGATCTCATTTAATCATAACTAATCTGAGAGAGTCCATTTAACGTGAAGAATTTTTAAGGAGGATTATTTGAGATAATAAGTGGGAAAATAAGAAATTTGTGCTTAAATATTTAAATTTGACAATTACGTTGTATTCTTTCTATAGTGAGTTTGAAACTATTGTTAACATCATTGCTTCTGTCATTTGTTAATCCCAAGAAAAGATTATAACTGTATTCCATTTGAGTACTGCCAGTTTTTTTGTTACTGTCTGATTTATAGATAAAGCTTTATCATAAATACACCTATATAGGAAAAAGCAGTATATATAGGATGCAGTACCATTTGTGGTCTCAGGCATCCACCAGGGGTCTTCACATGTATCTTCTGTGGATAAAGGAGTCTCTGTGGTAATCTCAATCTTGAGATTTTAAAGTAAAACTTTCAGTCATTTTAAAGTGTTTCTCACCTCATACAGTAAGAACCTTTCTGGAAAACATGTTTTTTTGTTTGTTTATTTTTTGTTTTTTTATGTGTGATCAATCATAAAGCCAGCAATATTGTACAAAATTTACTCATCTTACCATACTTTTGAGTTTATTAGAGGCAGGAACTATATCTTATTTATGTTTTTATTTCAGAAGATAGAAATCGAGGGGAAGGAATCAAATTACTTTTTGGATTATCTTGTGATTCTGTTGGATCTGAGTATTATAATTTAAGACCCATGATAGTTGATGATAGTAGAAAGTAGTACAGGTTGAGTAACCCTATCCAAAATGCTTCAGACCAGAAGTGTTTCAGATTTTGGAGATTTTCAGATTTTGAATATTTGTATAGACTTCATAGGTTGAACATTTTCAGTCCAAAAATTCAAAATCTGAAATGCTCTAACATTGGAAATTTTTTGAGCATTCTGGTGACTTTGAAGCATTTCAAATTTTCTGATTAGATGTGTTCACTTTGTATTCAACACTTCGTATATAATGTAATTTCAGCATTTTATCTTCAACAGTATTGTTATATTAATATCAAACATTTATACAGTCTGTATTATGGCTGTATATTTAAAGACTGGTGTTTCTTCTGTTTCTGCACGAAAAGAAAATTATCATAACACTCTGGAATTTAGTGTCCTATCAAGTTTTTTAATTATTTTTTTGAATTCAGATTTTTGTTGTTAATTCTTTTCTAGTGTTTACGAAAATGGGGTTACAGAAGATGTGAAGATATTTGTTGGATTAAAACCAATAAAAACAATCCTGGGAAAACTAAGACTTTAGATCCCAAGGCTGTTTTCCAGAGAACAAAGGTATTACCTTTATTATTTGCTTTCTTTCTTGTTTTTTTCTCAAGATTTTCTAAGTCACTATATGCATTTGAATTTTGGTGGAAAGGTCCTTTCTAAGACTTATCTAAATAGCATTGAGCACCTCAGGAATATATCTAAGTTAATTTTAAAAGTTTTGTTCACTATCTTGGATCAGCTCCCATTGTACTTGGAAAGAGAGTATATATTCTTCTTTGTCCAAGCTGCCATGTGTCTGGGTTAGGTCTGGACTTAAAATACTCTGTAGGCTAAGAAAGAAGAAATGATAAGATTCATAGCCGACCAACTCAGGCATTTCTCTCCTTTTCTTTTTCTACTCAAGAACTTAGAACTTCTGTTTCATAGGACTCTGTTTTGCCAGTTTCAGGCTTTGGTGGTTTTTGTTCTTTACTCTTGAGGGACCCACTGAAGGGAGGGTCTCTCTTGGGCTGGAATCCTGCCCACATAAGGATGGGGTGTGAAGAGTAGCTTCTGAGTATAAAGCTGTGGGTTTGCTGAAGGGTGGCACCACCCAGAGAAGGCTGGAAGCTCTATGCCTCTTGCCACATGCCTTTCCATAAGCATCTCTTCTGTTCATCTATTCTGAGTTATATCCTTTATAATATCATCCTGGATTCCATGAGCCACTCTAGTATGTAATCAACCCAGGAGGGAATCACTTGAAGCTCCAGTATACTGTGTAGCCTCTTGATCAGAATCATGGGTGAAAACCTGGACTTGATTGATATTTGAAGTTAGGAGTCAGTCTGATGGGACTGAGCCTTAATCTATGGGGTTCTGTGCTAATGAAGTAAATAGTATCACAGAGATTTGGAGAATTGCTTGATGTGGGAAAAACCCACATGTCTGCATCGGGAGTGAAGTATTTGAGGTATTGGATACTATGAGGGAGAGTGCAGAAGAAAACGGCTTGTTTTCTTGTGTACCTTACAGTTTTCCCACATCTGGAGATCCAGTTGCCCTTTCATGTTAATTGCATCTCAAAGATACAGAGAGATAAAGAGGAATTGAGGACATCAGAAATGTAAAGTGTTGTGACATATAACTACTGATGAAAGAGACTAATGTGTTTTCTCTTATTTAGGAACATTGCCTTATGGGGATCAAAGGAACTGTGAAGCGTAGCACAGATGGGGACTTTATTCATGCTAATGTTGACATTGACTTAATTATCACAGAAGAACCTGAAATTGGAAATATAGAAAAACCTGTAGAAATTTTTCATATAATTGAGCATTTTTGTCTTGGTAGAAGACGTCTTCATCTATTTGGAAGAGATAGTACAATTCGACCAGGTAGGAGGACTTCAATTTAAAACAAAGTCAGCTTTATGATTCCTTGTGATTTGGATATTAAGAATGGACTTGGTTGTAAAAGAAAACTTTTGCATGTAAAATAAAATTCTTACATATTTAATTTCTCTTCTTGCTGTAAATCTTATGTGAGTAGTTGTACATTCACCACAAAATTCAGGGGAAGATACAGAGATTTCCTCTGTGCTCCCAGCCCCTACACATGCATCACTCCTCACTGTCATTATTCCCCCCATAATGATATATTTGTTGTAATTAGCTAACCTACATTGAGACGCCATAATTATCCCAAGCCTGTCATTTACATAGGTGTCATCTAGTATTGTATGTAGTGTGTGGGATTGGACAAATGTATAGAAACAGATATCCACCATTGCAGTATCATACTGAATAGTTTTACTGCCCTAAAAGTTCTCTGGGCTCTATTTAATTTTAAAATATATATTGTTTTCTATTTGACACAGTAATTATATGCGTTTATATAGTACAATGTGGTATTTCAGTAAATCTGTACAACACGTGATCAGATCAGTAGTGTATCACCTCAGACATACTGTGTTTCTTAGTATTGGGAACATTCACACTCCTCATTACCAAGCTCTTTTGAAATAGTCAAGTAATTGTTGCCCACCATAGTTATCCTACTGTGCTATGTACAACATCTCTCACTCCCTGTTTCCTTCCCATGCTTCACCACTGTTCTATTCTCTGCTTCTTTTAGATCAACTTTTATAATGTCCTCCAGTTCTATTCCATGTCGCTACAAATAACAGAGGTTAATTCTTTTTTATGGCTGAGTAATAATCTGTTTCTATACTGCAATTTCTTTATCCACTGTGGACCCCCTGCATGGATTCCTGATCTTGACTGTTGTGAACAGTATGCAGTATATGCAGTAAACATACAAGAGCAAGTGTCTTTCAGCTAGACTCCGTTTCCTTTGGATATATGCCTCATACTGAAATGGCTGTATACAAAGTTGTAGTTTTTTTGAGGGATCTCCATATAGTTTTATATAATAGCTATATTTACTAACATTCTCTTTTCTCCACATCCTCATCGAGCATTTGACTCTTTGATAATAACCATTCTGTGGTGAGATGATAGCTCATTGTGGGTTTTTTTTTTGCATTTTCCTGATGATTAGTGGTATTGAGCATTTTTTATATACTTGACTATTTGTGTATCCTCTTTTGTGAAATGTCTATTCAATTCATTTGTCCATGGAAAGGTAAGAATGAATAGGAATAACGTGGTGGTTGGAGTTCTAGGGCCTATCAACTAAGAATATTTGTGGTTGGGAATAGTAAAGCAATAATTGGTTTTAGATTTGAATCAAAACAGTGGTACCATTTTCATTAAATAGGATAGTTATGTATAATTTTTCAAATTGTCACCAGCCCATACTCTGTGTAGTATACACTATTTCTAAGTGCTGTTATCATAGAATGTAGACCATAAATGGAGGAGGACATATTATAAATGTTATGATCTAGGAGAAACAAGATATATAAAATTAAATCTTTAAAAATATGACCATGATTAAGTACTGTACATTCCATAAAAGTGGTCAATATTGGATGAGTGCTAAGGACATCTTTAGGAATGCATTGGGCATCTGAATTGGCCCCTAGAAGATCAAAGAGAAAGAATACAAATAAAAGAGATTTTTTTTTTCCATTTTAGGCTGGCTTACAGTTGGACCAACACTAACAAACAGCAACTACAATGCAGAAACATATGCATCTTATTTCAGTGCCCCAAATTCGTACCTGACTGGATGTACAGAGGAAATTGAGAGACTTCGACCAAAGTCGCCCCCTCCCAAATCCAAATCTGATCGGGGCGGTGGAGCTCCCAGGGGTGGAGGTAGAGGAGGAACTTCTGCTGGCCGGGGTCGAGAAAGAAATCGATCCAACTTCCGAGGAGAAAGAGGTGGCTTTAGAGGAGGCCGTGGAGGAACACACAGAGGTGGCTTTCCGCCTCGATGACTGTTAGACACTGGTGCTCCTAATGCTCCTCTGACCTTTCTACTGTGGGAGACTTCATTCTAGCTTGTGCTTTGCTAGTTTCTCTAAGCTACCAGGAATATAACTTTGCACCTTGCAGTTGTCACACACAGTGGCTGGTTTGTTACAGGATAAATGAGTGATCCTGCCTTTTGTCATGTGCATCTACCTGACCAGAATGGAACAACCCAAGTAGCTTCATGTTCAGGAACTGAATTTGTTCTAATTCCAGCCAACTGCAAAGGCATTTGCTGTGTAGAAATAGTTGGGAAGTGCAGATGACTTGCTGACAGAAGTTGATAAGGCACATCCTGCCACTGCTGCCCCAGCAGAGTGGAAACTGGGAGCCTTGGTAGAATGGAGTTGGGACAGATGGCCAGCTTCTAGCAGGGCTTTTACCAGTTGCTTGTTGAAATGATAAAAACAAGTAGACTTTGTGTTTTTGGTTTTTTCCTTTAAAATTTTTTTAAAAATCCAAATGTAATTTGAATACTGAAGAAATGGAGAGATTTTGAACAAAATCCCCTCCTTTCATATATTGATCTGAGATATTAATCTGGAGCTTCCAAGGATGGTTAAGAAAGCTGGAAGACTTAACAGGCCGACTTAGAAAAACATCATAATTTTAGTTGTGTAGCTGGCTCTTAATTGTGCCTCTTAAGAAAAAAATGAAGATATCCAAGTGTGAGGATTTTGGTGTAGATGTGAACTTGACTGACCTTCAGTGCAGTCTCATATTCCCCTGTTATAAAAGTAACGGAAGTATTAAAATAGAGACACCTCCTTATCGGGTTTGGCCTAACCATTTTGAGAAACAAGCACTTGGTGATGAGGAATGGCATATGCATCTTTAACCTTGATAACTTTCATGTAAAAGCAGTTTATTTGAAAATCCTCAAAGAATATAACTTGGAAAATGGAAATGCATTTCACTTTTATTAAAACCACAGTGTGATAACTTGTTTTTAAGGGGCGGATGGTGTGGACCAGTTAGTTATATATGAGCTCATGCTGTTATTTCTCTTCCTATACTGTTAACTCACGTTTAAATGCATTTAATGAGATCAGACCATTATTATTCTTAATAAATGCTGCTTTATTTTGTTACAGTTTTTCTAATGAAACTTTAAACCTTTGAAATTTGAGTCTTGGTTTTCCCTATCTGGAATTACTGTTAGTACATTAAACAGGACAGGAATTTGTTTTATATTAATTTCTCTTTTAGACACATTTTATTTAAACATTTTATTTTAGACACATTTTATTTACTGGTTATCATGTATCTATAGTGCTGTTTCCTAATTTGGTTTTCTCAGTTTATGTAAAGCAGAGTAGTGAAAGAGTACTGTAGTAAATAGCTGTTGACTTTGTTCTCAGAGGTATCAAGCCTATAGAGAGAGGATGGAAATTTGAAAGCGTTCCCTGGGTAAACTGGACATCACTTGTGAGCCCCAGCCAATTGTCAGTACAGGGGGAAGGAGTCAGTCTGAGATGTTCATGTGAAATCTTTCTAATTTTTAAGAGATTTTTAATTAGTTTGCAGCCTTTGCTTACATTTTCCTTCCGAAAACTAAAATTTCTTAAACTTAGACTCCCTAAACACTGCATGCATGTTTTAGGTTCTGTCCTCTAAATACTACGTGACCAAATTTACTAAAAGACGAAGGAAAAAGTTACTCTCTCGGAACAGGAAATCATCACATTTTTAAACTCTAGTCAGCTTACTTTGGAACAAACACCATTAAGATTTTGCAGACATGGATGATAATTTAAATGGGCTATGGTGGTATAACTGCAAACTATCTGCTCAATGGGAAAAAGTGTAGATGTCTAGGCCTAATTGTCATAAAATATACCTCTCTTAGATAATCCTATACTTGTACAAATATGTAATTTACAGTTGTTAGTATCATGAGGGAATGACTTCATCATTATGTTGCCTTTGTGTTTATTTATTTTTGTACCAGAGATCGAACTGAGGACCTTACACTTGTGAGGCAGGCGTGGTGCCATTGAGCTAAATCTTCAGCCAAAATGTTTATCTTTTTAAAAGCAGAGAACAAAAAAGTCAAAATAATTTTTGAGATATATACAATTTAAAAGCACGTGGTGGTTAAATAATCCAGGTAGTTGTGTGTAAATGTTTTGTGGCATTGGCTATTTTATAGTTTTATGCATTTCAAGACGAGTTCTGGGTTGTCTTTAATACTAAAATTTTACTAAAAATTTTTAAAAATTTAATAATATTGCCCATAATTTAGGTAGTTACATAGATAGATGGGTTGTTTGGCCTTGTCTAAGAAGTGAGGCTTGGGCCAGGGATTTAGCTCAGTGGTGCTGCCGCCTGCCTCTTAACTGCAAGGACCTGAGTTCGATCCCCAGTACCAATTAAAAAAAAAAAAAAAAGGCTTATAGCATGGTAAATACAAGCTCAGTTTTATAGCTTACTTTTCTCCTGTTAGCCTTTATTGGTTAAAAAGAAAATACGCATGCTAAATATTCAGGGCTGGGGCTTTAGCTCAGTGGTAGAATGCTTATCTAGCAGGTAGAGGCCCTAGGTTTGATCTCCAGGAACACACACATAACCTACAAGAATATTGTATTTATAAAAATAGTTCCAAAATAAAATGTAGAAAAGTATGAATCTTAAATCTCAACTCCTTCCTGAGATGATGGTGACAAGATTGTGGTTAAGGATGGCATCAGAATCTCTTCAGGATCCATTTCCAGATCTGGTTGCTTTCATTTGTCCTTACTCCTATAGTTTACTGTTCTGTCTGATACCATTCTGTCTCCTTTTCTTTGTTTAGTCCGGAATTTATTATCCTGCTGTCTGGTCTCTTGGTTTTTGTTATTTGCTTTCTAAAGGCAACAGTATGCTTTCTCAGCTTTGAATGTATGGCTAGTTAGTGCTCTCTAGATAGCTCCTTAGTCTGTTTGCTTGCTTAATAAGTAGGAGAAATTCCCAGGAGCTTTTAACCTCTTCATTTTTCTGTTCTGATGCTTTCTTGCTGCATAAGGGGATTGTATTTTTCTGAATTTTTTTCCTAGCTAGGAGAATGGGGGGAAAAAAAATCCATTGAATTACCATCTATCTTGAGCAGAGTCAAAACTTCTTTGGTCTCACTTTATTAAAGGAACCTGCCTGTCCTCAGGATACAATTTTTTGATTACTTTTTTGTGAAACACAACCTTTTAAGGACTGTGATTTAACCTGTGTCTCCTTTATAATACCTGACATGAAAAAAGTAGACTATATTCTTATTGTAAATATCAGACACAGTAGATTGCCTGAAAGTAGAGGAAGCAAGATGGTGGAGGATGGCACCCAGAAGTTTTGGGAAGCTACTGCTTGCCAGTAACAATGCCCCAAGGAGACAGGTTCTCACTGGGGAGGAGCTGAGGGGTGTACCTAGCAAAACAGTCACCAGACCACACACTTGTTTCCCCCAAGCATGGTGTGAGTAGACACAGGTAGTAAAGCTTCCCTGTGGATAGAGGTGCACATGCAGGTTAGATTTTGTATAAAAACAATACTTTTCTATTAGAACATGATTGTCTTGCACACTAATTTACTATTAGTAAATCTTCCCTAATTCATAAATCTAATAACCTTTTTGCCACAGGCATTTTAGATCTCAAAGCATTGATAAGATAACATTAATCTAAACCCTATGGGATATTGTAATACTGTTCTTCAGATGTGGATGATACATATTTAACAGTTTTTTTGTGGACACAGGAACTAACTTAGCTTGAAAAATATCGGTCTTGCTCTGTAAAAGGTTTTAAAATTGCAGATTTTCGTTGCAAGAGATTTATTTTTTATAACTAGTAATAGCTTTAAAATATTACCATGTAAAAAGCATAGCCTAAGAATTCTTATGCAATTCATGCATTCTTGAAACTGTATTAAGTAGTCATTATTGTAGCTTCCTTACCTAGACACTCGTAATATTACTTCCCAAAACTTTGTTCTTCATGTTGTGAAAACTGGATTTTCATGTATTAAGTTTGGATGACAGTGAATTTGGAAATCATGTTTGTGAAGCTGTATGTGGAGAACTGGGAGAGTTTAGCCTGAATAAGACAACAGGGACACGTGATAGCCTTTGAACTACCTGAAAAACTATATATAAAGTGAAGGAATTCTCCTTTGTCCACAAAACAAAGCACTTGCATTCACCAAAAGAATTTTCAGAGAAACTGCCTGCTAAATATAATTTTCTAATGGAATTGTTCATAAATGTCTGCTAGGGGAAGGAGTACCTTTCTCCTCACTTTTTCAACTGAGTCCAGGAAGCATGCCTAGAGATGAAGACTAGGGAGTTCTGTTGCTCTTGTCCATTTTGGTCAATGTTCCATTCCCACCTTTTTTTTCAGCAGTTAAAATTTGTGTGTTCAACACAAGCTCTATTCTCCAAAGAATTGCTTCTCTGGAAGTTTACTGGTTTTCTGGAAGATTTAAACATGTTAGTGTATAATGCCTCCTAGTGGAACTCAGATTCAGTTTCACTTCATCTTTCCATGGTCAAATATCAATCTAAAATTTGATCTTTGGTCTTCATTATTTTAGTAGAAAAACATTTTCCCATCCGGCTAAATATTGTAAAAATTAATAGGCCTTTCTTAATTATTCTCAGTCTACTATCATTAGGTTAGATTTCTGGGGGGAAGTAAAGGTCATGCCATTTAGTGAATTCAGAAATGTACCTGAGTGAACTATTTTTTCATAATGTTCCTCAACATTTGAAATAAAAGTTCGTACATACATACACGTGTGTATATATATATAAAAAAAAATATATATATATATGTATGTATGTAAGTTCTGGTTTTTATCACGTCTTAAGGCATCTTAGTCTACAGGTTTCTCATATTGGTAAGTTTACTTTGATTTCTGAAACTTATTTGACATTTTTATTGTATTTAAAATATTAATGACAGCAATAAACAGTAATCCTAGTTTTCATAACCCTTAGCAAGTTTAATTTAAAAGCCTTAGTGAAACAACAGCAGTGAACACTTAAATAATACTCACTGTGAGACACTAATTGTGAGTCCTTTGGTTTATTAACTTACCCTTGAAACAACTGAGCAGGAAACTGGCATACACAGGTGTTTTTAGCTGTTTTTGCCTGGCTCAGAGAGCCCGTGGTGGAGCAAATGCAGGAGGCTATGTTGATTCTGGAGCCTGTGCTCTCAGCCGTCCTGCTTTATTGCTTCTCATGGTTTGGGGCAGGAGCACTATTTCAGGTCTCATGGTCACTGAAACATTTCCACTATTAGATTTTTCCTACTATTGAAATAAAGTAGCTTGAGATTGCATTTGCTTTCTCATCCCACTATTGACAAAATGAGAAACAAATTCTGTAATACTTGTGTGCAAGAAGCGTCTCCTACATGTGCATTTGTTTTTTGGACTCAAGTGAAAAGTCTTGAAGCTTTACAGTTGTTAAACTCATCCACGCTGATCTGAAGCCGCTTGGCTAATGTGGGGAGATTGTTATTGTCAACCTCATGACATCTACTAGTTTATAAATAATCCTCACTAGCCAAGTAATCGTATAGTACTTAACTGTTTCCAGCTGTTTCTTCATGTGTAAAAGGGGCTGGTAGGATTACTTTTGCTGTAAGGACTAAATATAAAAATGACACAGTTCTTGGGTCATGAACTCGATTATACATCAGCTATTATTATTTATCCATACTCCTGATAAATTTGAATAGTACAAACACAGGACAGATGATGTGTCACAGCTCTAAAAAGCACTCCTCAGGGTATATATATCCACTAGTAGTGGTCCCATGTTGCCAGCTTATTTTGCCCGCAAGAAGATACTCAAGAACTGTTTAACTACCTTTCTTAAGTTCACTGATACCTCCTAGATTTATTACCTAATACTTCTCAACCTTGAAAAAAAATTTTTATTATTGTGATTTTGTGATCCATCAATTTTTTTTGTCAAACATTTGAGTGTTATTTTTAAAATCACAAAATACATAAAAATGAGTACTTCTACACAAAGTATATGAAGTGATTTATTGATACTGGTTAAGATCCATTATGTACAAGTAGAAATTGTAAAATTGTACAAAGAACTATTAAGAATATTGATAAAGACAGTTTTATAGACAAAACAACTGGAAAAGTTTTGACAGACAAAGTAGAACTAAAACTGTTCTATCAGATTTTAAGGTTACTAAAGTTTTGCTATGTAAACTTTAGATTGAAAATATATGTTCAATGGGTTTACATAGCTTAAAACTTAGATATAATGTAAAAATGATCTCCCCCCTTGTGGCAAATGGGAGAGGAACCAAGACAACTTTGTACCCCAAATCTACAGTTCGAAAAATATATGTCTAGGAACAAAAAAAACTGAGAATGTAAGGTATGTGCTATGGTTTGGATCTGAAATGTGCCCCCAAAGTCTCATGTTTTGGGGAGGACACTAGACCATGGGGGCACTGTACTTACTGCGGGGGCTGGTCCACAATGGGTTCATAGCTCCTGCTGTTAGGAAGTGGGATCCGGCTGGAGGAGATGGGTTATTGGGAACATGACCTGGCTTATCTTTCTCCCTGGCTTTTCCCTTCACTCTCTTAATTCCTAGCCACCATGACTCCAGTATGCCCCTTTATCATGTCATGACCATGATCATGAACTGTAAAATAAGCCTACCCTCCTTTAAGATATGGGTGTTGGCTATCTTGTCCCAGCAACAAAAAAAAAGGAACTAAGACACCAGACTTCATGAAATGCAAACTGAGGGTTTTTTTTTTCTGGTACCGGAGATCGAACTCGGGACCTTGCACTTGTGAAGCTGGCACAAGAACCACTGAGCTAAATCCCTGGCCCCAAACTGAATTTTAAAACTTAAAAATTGTGCATTCAGAATAGGCCGTTCTCTTTAGGGCACAACTGTACCTTCATTGGCTTTATACCTGAGCACCAAAGCTGAAGTTCTAAATGCCTTCTTGAAAAGCTATTCTGAAAATGATCAAGAAAAGGAAATTACCCCACTATCATTGGCAAAATTAGGCACCAAGAAGGAGACTGTCTCCTTAAAAATGCACTATCAACAACAGAGATGATTTAATTAAGCAGCTGAGATATTTCCTTGTGAACACAACAAAGGAAATCCACATAAGATGATCCTCCATAAAGTCCTTTGTCTTCTACCAGGAACTGTCGAAAAACCATTTCCGGCTGTTCTCTCTGCTTTACTATTGTAAGCTAGGAAAACAAACAGCATTGGTTAGAAAGATTTTCTGAATGTGGCTCAATTTTGTTTGTTCCAGTTTCACTAAACATTGGAGAATGTCCACTCTGTGAGAGGCCTTAGAGGATGATGCGGAAGTACTGGCTATCCAGAGTGGAGAGACATACTGACTTCAAACCACAAGACCATCACGTACAATTTTAAATGGCAAGAGAGTGCTTTGGGAAAGACTTCCTACTGGTAGCGACTGTCACCTAAGCCTCAAAGCATGGGAGGAAAGGTGGTATTAAAGAACATTCCGTATTGGAATACCATGCACCAGTAATATAGACGTGACGTGTGTAAATTATCACAGGCTTTTGTTAGTTTTGCAGTGTTAGGGATCAAACCCAGGGCTTAACACATGAAGCAAGTGCTCTGCTACTGAGCCATATTCCTAGCCTTATCACAGGCTTTTAAAAGGTGGTGAGACATTAAGGACAAATTAGCATAAACACGAGTTTGGGCTTTTGTAGGATGTGATACAGTGAAAGCACAGAAGAATGAAATGAGACAGCTGACTGATAGCAGTAGGCATACACAGGTGAGATGTGGAACTGGGCAGAAAGTCACTGAAGTGACAAGGGGACAGCTGACTAGGGCCAGAATTAGGGTACTGCAGGTGGGAAGGCGTAAATTTGTGAGGCGCTGCAGAGGTCAGCACAGGTAGAACTGTCCTGTGCTTGTCATGATTCTCAGGACTGCTATCCAAACTGCAGCCACGGCCAGTATGCTGCCAAACCCATGAAACGTGGCTCCTCCAAATTCAGATGTATCACAAATGTGAGATACACAATGGACTTCTAAGACTTCATAGGAAAGAGCAAACGTGAAAAAGCTCAGTAAACCATGTAAACTGATTCCAAGTGGAAACAATGACATCTGCTTCCTGCATGGATAGCAGGGTCACCAAAGGGCCTGCAGTGGGGAGGTGACTGCAGCCACCAGCCCCTCCCCCAGAGTCAGGACGCGATGTCTCCTTTTTGAAGGGAAGGCCCCGGTCTTCCCATTTTTGCGTCATGTTTTCTAGTTATGGAGTAGTTCTATCAGCACCACTTGCTTTTGTTCTTTGGCACTGGCCCTTGGCTGATAGGCTTTAAACTGTTCCTGACTTAATACAAATTGTAATAACGTGTAACAATAACTGGCGGGGCTACCACTGCACTCAGCTAATTCTATGTGAATATGCCTTGATTTTTTTTCTTTATTGTTCCGTTCCTGATGTTTCTCCTATTCAATCTTGATTCTGTGTCTTCATTTCCTTTGTGTGATCAAATTTCAAATGTCAGAGAAACAGACATAATGCTAGGTACAGAGGTGTAACGTTTCAGCCCCGGGTACAAGCCGCATGCCTTGGCCTTCAGATGTCAGCACAGGACGCTGGAAGTGGCCCTGGGAAGGCTGTAAGCACAGGCAGATTCCACTCCTACAGGGCAAGTGGCTCTAACCCCTTAATGGAAATTTCTCCAGAAGAATCTTAAGAGTTGCATCCTGAGGCCATATTTTTAATATTTTTGTTTGATCCCCCTCCTCTGTTGTGCTAGTCTTTCTCAAAACACAGGTGGCAGCAATATGGCCCATCCTCAACGACACAATTCAGGGATGGGAATGAGACACTGGAAGGAAAGACTGAAGTTCCAATTTATTTAGAATTTACTTTGTCTATGGGAATTAATGGGAGGAAGTTTATATTGCTTATCTTGTGGGATAGTTTCTGTTGCTGTCTTCACTTGTTTTGTTTGGAATTTCACATGGTGCTCACTGTACAACTTCCTGTGTCTGATTTTACCATCTGAACTATGGTAAAGAGAACAGGGAATGAATTTCAGCTCTGGGGAAACAGATTTCAGATAAGACAGCTTTCATATCTGGGGCTACCATCTGAGTCTCTACAATGTTAAACTGCCTACCACCTCTGCCAGAACGATGTGGGAAGTCACAGGAGAGTGGATTCATGGAAGTGGTTTGGTAGGCTGTCTTGACACACTTAAACTGATGCTATTCTCCTGAAAGGGTCTATGGTTATTTTCCTCCTTTAAATTTCTGTAAGGGGAGACATGGTCCTGAAAAGAGGAACAGAATGTTAAAGTGGCTGTTGATGGTCTCTTTCCCTACTTCCCATGTGCCCTTTCCAAGGAAGTCCTGACTAAAGAAAGTGGCCCAAAGGTAATGTTCAGTGGGCCATGTTACCAGAGTCCACAAATAATCAAAGTGCTTCAAAAACCAACCTCATCTCACTGCCTGACGTGGGGAACAGCTAAATGATGACAGTGATCACGATGGCCTAGGAAGAAGATACTGAGTGGGAAAAGAAGTGAGCCATGGACACATCTTAGAAAACATCAACACTTAAGGGGAAGGTGAGTGGAGAAAAAAAATGTCAGCAAGAAAGAAGAATCAAACATAAAATATCTTGAAAGCTGACAGAAGAGGTAATTTGAAGAAAGAAGTAGTTAACCTTGTAAATGCTGCTAAAGATACTAGGACTCAGTTAGCAGCAGCATTTAGGCAGCTTATATTGAAGCAGAGAGGGAAAGGGAGATAATTAGCAGAGACAACTCTATCAAGAAGCCTGGTGGTAAAATGTCTGGTATGTTGCACATGTCCAATAAATATTTGTAGAATGAGTGAAAGGAAAGGGAAAGAGAGTTTTAGAGAAGCGGCAGCTTTAATGAAACTTGTAAACTACGAAAAGAGCCTGTGGGAGGGATTAATCCAGAAAAGGAGAGATTAACATTTGGAACACAGAGAACTGTGAGCAGGGCAGGATTATACTTTATCAGTAACGTCCTTGATTTCATTCTTCTGGGAACACACTGGGATGGAAATCTTTGTTCCTTCACAAAATGAAAAATGAGGTCTAAGGTTAGTGCTCTGAAAAAGTAATTAGCCTAACTTGGAAGATGACAGTGCCTTCTAGATTTGACTTTGTTAGTTTTGATTATTCCATTTCAGTTTTGTTTTTTGTGTTTTGTTTTGTTTTGTTTTTTCTTTTCTTTTAAAAGACAGAATCTTGATAGGTTACCCACGCTTGTCCCAAACTTGCAGGCTCAAGCAATCTGCCTGCCTCAGCTTTCTGAGGACCTAGGAATACAGGCATCTGACACCATGCCTGGCTCAATTTGAGTTTTTTTCTCCTATTCAGTCTTGAATCTTTTTTTTTTTTTTCTCTCAGTACCAGGGATTGAACTCAGGACCTTGTGCTTGCAAGGCAGGTGTGGCACCATTGAGCTACATCCCTGACCCCAGTCTTGAATCTTTCAATGTATGACTTTATTTATATGGTCAGTTTTTAAGCATCAAAGAAAAAATGCTAAGCAGATAGTCCTGTATCTACCATGGTCCAGCTGTGAGACACTGGCCAAGTTAAGAGGGCTCCTCTGAGCCTCATTTTCATGTCTGTCAGATGGAGGCAGAACAGCTAAAAGGCAAGAGGGAGACTAGAGACTGCATGTCTTAGATTCCCTTCAGTCTGAAATCTGTAGATTTTAGATATTTTAGAGAATTTATAGAGAGGGCACCCTGGAAAGTCAAAGGGATCTTACAAATAACAGTAGATGAATCTGTGGGTGGTACCTAAGAAAATCTGATTCTTTAAGTATTCCAGCTAAAATTATTTTATCATACAGCTGCTTCTACTTACTTACATACAGTATTTGAGATTTGCCCTTATATACTTTTATAACCACAGCTGTTTTGATCTAAGTAGTTGCTGGAGCAGGTGGGAGAAAGCAGAGGGGAGAACAGTCCTCATTTTCTTGGAAGGAGACACACTGAGCTCAAGGATGAGTGCCACACTGCGGTCTGCCTCTTCCCTGAACACGGGGCCAGTGGTAGGAATTAGGCTCCTGCAGCTGGGATGAGAGGGCCACCACTGTTAAGGCATTCTAAATCCCCCTCTTCAGGTTGTGTTCTTGGCAGGTCTGTCTCCAGGATTTTCATGGAATTTATGTGGAGTATTTAGTTTGATCCTTCTCTGCCTCCTCTAGGTCCTTCCCTTAAAATGAATCCAAGTATATAAAAAGCAGTTCTGGAACGGTCCTATGTTCATCCAGACAGCTGTTCTAGATTGGAAAGCCATTCATTAATTTAATGATATAATCTATACCTAAAGTCAGTGTCTACACGCATGAGTTACTTTCACAGTCAAGAATGTTGATTTAGATTGATATAAATTTACATTTCTGGAAATAAAATTGGCCTCATGATATCCTGTCTCTATTAGAGGCCTGCCTCCAGGAGACATCATATACATATACAGTAAGTAACTCTATATGGATTATCACCTGAAAATTCCAAATCCAGGAGACTCTTAATATTGAGCTTGGGGAGGAAGAAAGGTAAGCAGATGGGACTTAGTAACAAGGTGTAATATTCTTGGGTTCTAGATGTTTCGAATTATTACTTGAACAGAGAAGCCTTAGCAGGGCTAAGGAGGACTAAAACAAAACTTTTAAAATAGTATAAGTAAAAAATTTAAAAAGTCAAAATTTATAAATTAACTGATATTTCTAGGTTTAATTTTAGGCACTAAGAGAAAAGCCATTTTAAAATCTGTTAGTAAAACTGGAAGATCTTCATGATTACTAATACTAAGTTAACTCATAGTAATAGCAGTTTATTTTTGTGTTTGTGACTGATAAGTAGGTAAATATACTTAGAGGTTATTATGAGTTTTCTATTACATATGACTGAAAAATATGGTGAATCATGAATTTTTTAAAACACGTGTTACAACAAAAGATGCATTACCAGTAATCCCTGTCAAAATATTTGCCTTTGCTTCAAATACATTTATTGCATCATTCTTGCCATTTTCTGAAGCAGTTCTGGAAGACTTCTTTCATGAATGTCTTTAGTTACATCGTTGTAGCTGCCTCCTGTCCTGAATCAATTCAAAATGTTTATATGTCATGATCATTTTGACGTTGGGGAAGAGCCGGAAGACACCCTGAGGTAGATTAGGGCAAATCACAGCTGGGCAACCAGCTAGGACCTGTCAGTTACGGAGAGCTGTCAAATCACAGCTGAGATGCGTGTGTAGACAGCTCAGATATGAAGTCAAAAGAGGATACGAAAGACATGAAAGACAGGGACGCTTGGGTCTCCTTGCCACTGTCCTCTTTTTCTTGCAGTGGCCTGTCCTGCGTGCATGATGTATGTAACTTCTCTTTTCTCTTTCTACTTTCCCTCTCCTTTACTTTCTTTTTTTCTCTCTCTCTCTCTTTTTCCACAGTAAACATTCATCTGTTGGGTTCCTCAGTTGTCACCATCCAGTTCTTTGAACAGGACAAGAGCCTGGAACCACTGGACACCACACCAGGTGACAACATGGTGGCAGATCTGGTAGACAGGGTGGATGAGGACCCCCAGTACTGTTTTCACCAGCCTGCCATTCCACTGGATTGAACTGAGCAGCAGCACTGACTACATTTTTTATCATACCTCAGTGAACACAGTCATAAAAGTGGACTTTCAGAACTGCTTCATAAACTGGCAAAATAATGGGTTAAATGTGTTTGAAATGAGAAAGTATTTTGAGGGGGATTAATGGCAATGTGTCTTTTACTCTAATACACTTTTTAAATTTAAACATTCATAGTATATTTCAATCACAACTTGTATCTAACACCTATTAGATCACATAAAATGCAGAACATGCATTTTTAAAATCTTTAATGAAATAGTAAATAAAAGGCATAACAAGAATGGGAACAACAAAATCTCACTTTTACCTTCATTGAATATGGCTTCTTTTGTTGGATAATATTCATTATCATTCTGAGTTGTTGAGAGTGTGGATTTCCCACCTCAGGCAGTGATGTCTAAATTTAAGAAAATTAGTTTCAGTACAGTCTAAAATAATTAGATGGAAGCAGAAATATGAGATTATTAGACTGTTAAAAACATCCATCTTTACTATCTAGACTACTGACTTAGATCATTTATCTAAAAATTGCAAATGTAGAAAAAAATGAACTAAAAATTACTCATTTTTCCTGACATATATTCCCACCAGTGATCTGTTTTCTGAAAGTAAAAATCTTTCTCTGCAATTTGACACATATACATCACTGATAAGACACCACAGGTATACATTTTACACAAAGGAAGTCTTTGGACAGTTTCCCATGATGAATTACTCCATTTTCAAGCTGTATATTCCAAGGCATTGTTATGAGAGAAAAGGATGCACTTTATCCCTTCAGTAGATCCGTTGCAAGATTCTGACTCATTACCTTGTTTGGAAATTGCTATCCAAGTATCACTCTTTTAATATTAAAACAAACTACTAAAATGCTTATTTGTCAAGGGAAATGTGTTCTCTTAGATTTACTTGAAATCTGGTTAGTAGTTTATAAAGCAGTCTAGTTACATATGGCCTCCAGGAGATGTGAAGGAGCTGCACTTTAGTTTCCTCAATTAAGATGAATAAAATGCTAATGCTTACTTCTCAAAAAGAAGAAGCCAAGATTCAGCACATCATCTGGGAGTCAGCTGCTGGAAGGCTGAGTTAGAAGACTTTATTGTAATGACCCAAGTTTTAGGAAGATTATAACCAATACATTTCACAGAGGTTATAAGAAAAGCAGGGTATTCAAAGTCACATTCTGTCCCTTTTGAAATTAAGTGGGTTCTTTCATCAAATTAATAACATAAATTGGTCTATATCTGGTTTCTGATATTTATGTATTTATTTATAGGAAGGTGAAGGAGAGGTATGTTGACATAAGCATAAACCTACCAGTTGGTTACTTGGTGGTGGAGAGACTATTATTTTGTATCTATGTTAAGCTCAGAAAATATGTATTCAATCTTTACTATGTTAATACATAAAGATATAAAAAGATGCTTCCTTAAATTTTATATAAACATTCTCTCAGATTCAGTTCTTTGCCTAATGAACTTTATTTGTAATCTTTTAAAAAATTACATTTCTAATAATTTCTGAATTTCAGCCAGGAGCAGAAATCTTAGCTGTTTCAAAGCTTCTTAATTTTAAAACTAGTCTCTTAATAAGTTACACATGTGTAAATACCGAATAGTTTCCCTGGTGTGAATAATCTGCAATAATACATAAGATCCTAATAAGATTACTGACATTTAGAAATGGGAAGAAAGGAGCTAAAGGTGTAGGGAAGGTGAGATGGGTAGGGGAAGGGTAAAAAGGGAAAAGAAAAAAATGTGAGATAATGAAAAGATGAAAGTAAAGTGTTTGTAGATGGGGAGGGGAGGAGGGGGTGAAGGGAGGGCAGACGTAAGAGGAAAAAATGAGAATCAAGACTTGTCATGTAGAGGTACAAGATCCCAACAATGAATGTAACTGTACTGTATCCCTAAAATGTACCAATAAACTCAATTAAAGCTGAAAAAAA